GATGTGATTCAGCAATCTGTATACGGGGTAATAATGGAAGTTCATAACCATTCTGAATCAAATTGTGAAACATGATATATTAAGAAAGATGTAATGTTTTAAAAAATAAAAACAACAAAAAAATAAATAAAAAAAGAAAAAAAAAGAAAAAAAAACTATACTGAGATTCCATCTTCAATCAGAATGGCAATTATCAAAACACAAGAACAATAAATGTGGGTGAGATTGTGGAAAAAAGGTTCACTGTTACATTTCTTGTGGGACTGAAAATTGGTGCAACCATTCTAGAAAGCAGTATGGAGATTCCTTCCTTAAAAAACTTGGAACAGAACTACCATTTATGCCAGTTATGCCACTCCTTAGCTTATACCCAAAAGTCTTAAAATCAGCATACTACAGTGACAAAGCCACCTAAGTACCCTTGAGTGGATGAATGCATAAAGAAAATTTTTGGCATATGTACACAATGGAATATTACTCAGCCATAAAAAATAATGAAATTATAGCATTTTCCCATAAGTGGATGGAACTGGAAACTATCATGCTAAGTGAAATAAGCAAATCTCCCAAAACACGAAGACTGGCTATTCTAATATGTGGATGCTAACCCATAACAAGGGAGGATGGGGAGGGGAAGTATAGAAGTTTATTGAATTAGACAAAGAGGAATGAACAGAAGAGGGAATAGGAAAGACAGCAGAAAGAATTGGACCTAAATTTCCTATGATCATATACTAATCACGACCAGTGTAACACCACATCTTAAACAACCATAATAATGGTATCCTAATTGGAATGGTTTGTATTCCATGTATGTGTAATCGGTCAAAATACATGCTACATCATGTAAATATAAAAAAATAAAATGTTTTTAAAAATTGCATTGATAGTCATTTTTAAGTTAATGGACATTCCCATATTTCTATGCAATACATTCTTTTCTTCTGGAGATTTTTTTTTTGCTGTATCTCTAACAAATTTATCTTAATGTTAATTTGTGGTACATAGTTTGAGTTTCATTCCTCTATCCCATATGGTTGCAATGTGTTCCCAGTGTCAACAGTTTGACTTTTATAAATTGACTAGTTCTTGGGCAAGCTGGTTTTAAAATAACTATTATACAACCTTTGCCTTAGCTCCATACATATTGACTCTATAAACAGACACGACTCTCATTTCAGTGTCATATTTTTTATGCAACTACCATACTGCTTTACATAATATTTGAAAAAAAGAGTAAATATCATCCTCTATTAGTTTAGTTTGTTGAAGTACAATTTTGTGGTCTACATATAAGAAAGAATTTGGAAATAGTGATATTAGTTCATTGTACAAGCATTGACCTTCTTAGTACTTTTAATTAACCACGCAATTCCATATTGTAGCCATATGTGTCTTCCACTGTTGTGAACACTAAAAGAAATAAGAGGTAAAATAGTTGGTGTTATTTCATTTCCTACATAGGAATGTTAGAAGTCATGAAGTACATGGTTTATGAATATTTCCTCGTGATATACTGCTTAGAATATACAAAGATCCAAATGAAGCTGTTGGTTAGCTATTGGTTATTTTCATCCTCAATATGTTTAATAACACACTATCAAATTCCTTATGAAACAACTGCATGAAACGGAGGACAGGTATTCTAGTCTGATGATTGATTAATTGCAGTCCTGGGAATTAACCCAGGGCCTAGCTTTTGCTAGGCAAGCGTACTACTATAACCTGCCTCAGCCTCCTGAGTAGCTAGGATGGCAGGTGCGTGCTAGTACACTGGGCTTAGTCTGTCTTTTGCTTGACCTCTGTCTTTGGAACTGTTCCTGAGTGTCTTGTAGTCTAGCAGCTCACAGATGTTACAAGCAACCCTTCCTCTCTTGTACAAGAAGAGAGAATTTTGGAAGTCTTTACTAGAAAATAAAACTTGATATCCATAATATACAGAAGTGTGCAGATGTTTTAGAATCAAATAGAAATTAACATAAATTCTTTCACATGACTGAAAATTGGCAGAAATGAAATTAGGAACACTTCCTATTATATTTTAAAAAATTATTTAGATAGGCCCACAATTTGTACAATATTTATGTGGTTTTTCAATTATACAAACGATAGTTTCTTTTCATTTTTTTTTTGAGCTTAGTCTTTTAACTTTATTTATTTTAATTTTCTTTTTCAGTGAATATACCCAAGAAAAATTCTGAGAGGATATACCCAGTTGACCTGCTGTGATTAAACAGGATACTGCTGTATTTTGTAAGTTCATCTCTTTTTACCTTAATGAAAACTTTCTGCTGCATAGAACTGCTTTTTTTTTTTCATTTGGCATTAGAATTGAATTTGGTTTTAATGGGAGACTTAATTGATTTTATTTTTTCCAAGCTTTGTTTTACCTCAATTTTATTCAATTTCAGTAAATAGTGAAAAGGCTTTTCTTTGTTAGATTAAGTGTTTCCTTGTACCTATTAGCCAATATTTTAATGACTTGTGATAAGAAACTTATCATTTGTTGAGCTGGTTTAAAGAAAGGATGCTTCAGTCATGCTAATCTTGCCTCTGCAAATATATTATTATGTTCTCAGTTTAATTGAACAAATACCTTAATTTTATCTGTTGTAACTCCCCTGTGTGGCCTCAGGAAGCCTAAGCACTGACCATCTTCAGCAAACAGAGTGATGTTCTTTTTACCAATAGTTAGATTTTCCATTTAAGGATTACAGTATCACAATGAGATATGCACTGCCTGATTCTGTATTAGTATATTTCACATTCTTAGGAAATAAAGAGATGCTATTATATTCATTCATGACATTACATTGAGTGTTCTCTGAAACTACACATTTACCACCCTTCCCATTATCTCAAAAGTCAAAGAGTTGGCTCTTTTACAGTCTCTGGAACACAATATAAAGAAAACAGATTTCCCCCTTTTACAAACTTCCTTTGAACATGGAAATAAAATAGTCCCTTTGTCCCCAATTAGTTTTCTATGACAGCTCCAGTCGATTGAGAGAATATAATATTTATCATTTGTTTTGACATTTGCAACAATTTTTTTGGCGGGGGGGGGTGGGTTCATTCATGCAGACTATTTTCACTAAACTAAAGAGAAAAATTATGTTTTTTTCACCTCATAATAAGCAGATAGGGAATCAAGTAGGTGAAATGATAGATCTAAAGTTCTTAATTCAGTGGCATAATGGTCATTCCAAGTGCTCTTCACTGGGGCATTTTCTTTTTATTACTTTTTAAATTTTATGTTTTTCAACTGGGGAATTTTTTATATCCCAATATTTTTGAATAAAAAATCATGCTGACTATGGTTACATAAAGAGCACACTTAAGGGTCAGAATTTTGCAGGTCATAAATCAGTTCAAAAAGAGTTTGAAATTATATTTTTTAAAAGAAGATAAATTATATAAAGTTAAAGGTCTACCAAAAAAAGTCATCTTGAATTTATACTATAATTCAATAATTTGATTTTCTTCAAACTCTGTCCATTCAAATTATTATTTTTCTCCAAGGAAATCATTTTATTTTTTTCTCTTAGAAAACTGCATTTAATTTTTTAAAATGCTGATTCTTTGCAATTTATTAAATAAAAATTTATTTATGTGTATATGTATCTATCTTAAATTCTAAGAAGTATTTTTTCATATTGTAAAATAGCATCAATATTAAAATTACTTTTTAAAATTTTATAGCAATAGAAGACATTTGTTGAATGTTTAGAGTGTATCAAGAAATATGCATAAAAAGTGCAAATAAATTGGGTACTGGATTTTGCCTGTATACTTTTAATCAGTGGCAAATATACATTTTCTATTAGAATTTCACAAATTTTTTTATTTTACAAACAAAAAAAATCATTACCAAATTCACTCTTGATAGATCTGAAAAACCATGCTGGACCCATGGAGGTGTTATTGAACTTAGATTTACTAAAATTCAAGAAAGAGTTTTAAGAGCAAGCAAGAAATGTGTTCTTGGCTTTGATCACGCTCATCTTTTTTTAATTTATATATTTATACAATTATAAATTAATTTTTTTTAAATTTATACAATTTATACAATTCTTATTACACATATAGAGCATAATATTCATATCTCTGTATACAAAGTATATTCACACCAATTTGTGTCTTCATACATGTACTTTGGATAATGATGTACATCACATTCCACCATCATTTCTAAACCCCTGTCCCCTCCCTTCTCCTCCCACTCCTCTGCTCTATCTAGAGTTTGTCTATTCCTCCCATGTTCCCCCTCCATACCCCACCATGAAATCATCCTCCTTATATCAGAGAAAACATTCAGCATTTGTTTTTTGGGGGGATTGACTAATTTAACTTAGCATTATCTATTCTCTAATTCCATACATTTACGTGCAAATGCCATGATTTTATTCTCTTTTATTGCTGAATAATATTCCATTGTGTATCTATGCTACATTTTTAATCCAATCATCGATTGAAGGATATCTAGGATGGTTCCACAGTTTAGCTATTGTGAATTGTACTGCTATAAACATTGATGTGGCTGTGTCCCTGTAGTATGCTGTTTTTAAGTCCTTTGGGTATAGACCGAAGAGAGGGATAGCTATCACACTCATCTTGATCACTGTGAGCACTGTGGTCTCCTCAGCTAAGGTAGAACCTGGAAAGAGTGCAAAGGTGCAAGGAGAAATGAAAATGATGACTAAAAATTCTTGGAAATCATGCCTCTGATAAAGATTTTAAGGAAATAGAGTAATCCATTTGAAAAATAAATCATAGTGAGAACCAAATATCATTCTTCATTTATATGATGAAATTTTATAGAAAGGGGGAACAATTCTTTATTTTGTAATTTAAAAACACAAAATATATTTAACCTGTTAGTTTAATATACAAACATTTATATATAATGCACACATATTTACCTACCATATATGAAATAGATTTATTTAGAATATCATAATATAGAGTACATATTATAATATTTAAAACAAAAAACTCTCAGTGTTGATTTCTAAGCTGTTAGAATTTTTAAAGCAGTAGTATAATTGAAGGTAGAACTTTGTAAATCCCATCTTTCAAAAACAAAAAAACTTTAAAGCAAAACAGATCCTATCTTGAAGGGACTATGCAGGGGATAAAGTGCTCATTAATTCAACATGAAATCTTCCAGACCTACGAGTACATGATCATAAATTAGCCACTGTTTTACATTCTGTAAACAGTCCATTAGCTTCATCACTGCAACAGCACTGGCTTTGTGCTTTTGAAATCCTACAAAGGGAGGAAGTAACTGGTTCAGCAAAACTTTGCCTTGCTCTGCTGTCCCAGCTGAATAACCGTCCAGTCCCTCCTGGAGAATTAGGACAGTTTTTCTCTGAAGGCTTAATGATGATCAAAGTAGACCCTTTGCTGTTGGAACAGGAGCAGCTCTGGGAGGTACGTTAACTTCATTTGGTTAGAATTCATCTAAGCAAATGTTTTAATGAACACACTTTCAAAACAACCACAGCTACTTTCCTTGGCCCAATCACACAGCCAGTCCCCGAAGAGATGAATAGATCTCACAAAGTAATACCTTACCGCAGAGAGTTTCCCTGGTGCTTTAGACAATGAATGGTTCTAGCTTAGAAATATCTGAATCTTCTGGCTTATAGTTCTATTTTATATAGACTTTCTTTTCCAGAAACAGTAGAGATTAAATCAATAGAATATTTTCCAATTTATATATTCTTTAATTTATTGGTTCTTTTTAGTTACATTTGACAGTAAAATCCATTTTGATATAATTATACAAGCATGGAATATATTGTTTTCTAATTAGAGTCCTGTTCTTATGGATGATGTACATTGTGGTGGGATTCACTGTGATATTTTCATATATGTACGTAGGGAAATTATGTCAGATTCATCCCACTGTCTTTTTTCTTTTCCAATCTCCGCTTCCTTCCCTCCATTTCCCATTGTTTAATTACTGAAATTATTATCCAAGCTATTTTTTAATTTAATAAATTTAATCAAATGAGTATTTATGCTAAGAACTCTGGGGGAATGAAGGAAAAGTGCAAAATATGACTAGTATTCTAAATCTCTATCTTCTCATTTTGGAGAAAAAAAAGTCTATATAAAAACTACATGCAGGATTAAAATTAGGGAAAAAATGCAGACTTTTACTCCCTGACCATTCATAATACCTTAACTCTGTTCTTTGCATATGTACATGTATATTCAAACATGTAGGGAAAAAATCAATGAATCAATTAAATGCTGCAGGTGTACAAAAATCAAGTGTACTTGTATTTGAGATATGAAATGTAGATAAGACTTAGATGAATACCTAAGAACTGTTATAGATGAGATAAAGTAAGAACAACAGACCTACTTTTTTTAAAAAAAATAATAATTAGCACCTATTAATTGTTTAATATAAAAAGGTTTCATGTTGAAATTCCCATACTTGCATACAGCAAAGAAAAACTGGCTTAGAAATGTACTTCATATCTACACGCTATCTCTAAAGACATTGGAGAAAAAAATTTACCAAGTGAATAGTGAGAAGCAAAGCCAAGTATATAAGGTTGGTTTATACCATGAAAAATCTTAATTCCATGGTGGGCAGCCTGTGCTTGATTTGGTTGGGGGACAATTACAAGAGACATTTCAGTGGAATGCTATCTGTCCATTTCTGAATAATTGATACAGGTCAAAAAAACAAGCACCATGCCAAATTTCTGACTCTGAATAACTGAAAATATGTATGATGGGCAGAAATATGAACATTAAGGATAGATGGGGTGGAAGAATTTGTATGTATGAATGACAGACAGGATAGGATTTTCCAATTTTTGAAACTTCTTGAATTTATTTTTTGTTTTCTTACCTTGACATATTTTTATGTCAAACTGATATTTTATATTATTGGCATTTTAAATAGTAAAACTAGTTAATTTGTATTTATTTTTACTTTAGAGATATACCTTTAGCTTATCTAAAAGTGAACATTTAAGTAAGTAAACTGAGTAGTTCTTGGATTGTTGAAAGAAATGCTAACTCATTTTAGAACAGTCTTTACCTACATAAAAGGCAGTGTTGGCTTTCAGGAGTAATTGCTTGTTCCTTAAAGTCACCAAGTGCTCTGTTTTATAACCGTGGACATTTTATAGTAAGAAAATAAATCTGATTCTTCATTTCATATGCATATATTCTTTTTACTTTCTCAAAAGACAGAGAGACACTTGGTTAGAAATAACTATGAA